AGCCGACGACCTCCCCCCTCAGCCTCTTCTCGAGAACAGCCTGAGATGGAAACCACACTTCGATTCGGTTCCTTCCTTGCTTCTCCCCACAAATATGTGGCTCGCCAAACAAACCCGAACTGTGGAAATCTGTTTCCAAAACCCAGCGCATTGTTTCTTCTTCGTCTTCTTTTCCTTCTGCAAAAATTACTTCCCCTTCGGTGTCTTCCTCTATCTTTTTCCTAGGGACCAGTCTTGCCTTACCGCACACTGTCAAGGGATGAAGGTTTATCTTAAAAAAAAAAAAAAAAGACCCAGGGGAACTATCTCAAAAAGTCACCCCTATTGAATTTAGTGAGTGATAAATCTCTAGTAAAATCACCCATAGGGCTCTCTTAACTGGCTAACGTAAATATTTTCAATCTGAAAATTAACTATGTGGAGAGAGAGATTAATTTAGAATAGTACCTCTCCCTTTTCATTGTCTTTCTGCATCTATATTGCTATTTGCTTTCTCTCTCTCACACCCCCAATCCAGTGAAATTGATAGTTTTCATTGCCACTCGTGAAGTGCACTGTCCTACCAAATCCTTTCCACAATGTGTTTGAAAAATAGTGAAGAGAAATGAGTAGTGTCCAATGAATGTTTCAAATGGCTGCTTCTACAAGGTTTGCTTGTCTATGGTCTAATGTAGCAGATCAGCCATCTTTTTTGTCTTGTAAAAAAAGGACTCAATTGGCTCTCCTTTAAAACTACTGATAAACTGTTTGGCACGCCATTTACTAGATTGCCTATTCTAACTGCAGAGTTGCATCCCATTAATGTCAGCTCTACTCAAAAATACTTGAATTCACAACAGAAAATAAATGCATTTCCTTGGGAATAAACACCATGTTTTCCTTGATAATTATTTCCAAATACACATGTTTAGGACCTCAGTCTTACACATTAGTTCTAAGTATGTTTATCTGGAAGTAAGTTTTGCAGGTTTCAACAGGACTTACTTGTAAGTAAAGCAAATACAGTGTAGATATTCCCATATGCCTAAATATGTTTTGGATAGTACTTCAGCCTGATTTCCAACATATTAACTGGACTACTAATCTTGTGCTAATAATGGATAATTCTGCCCCTTGACGCAGTTAACTCCATGGTTCTTTTACAATTAAAAATATTAAAAATGAAGCGCAGTGAAATCAATTGTGATGGAATCATTTTCAGTCTAACTATTCAGATTAAATGGATTCAGGGACAGAATTTCATACATCACTTTGCCCAAATCTCTTTAGAAACCTGGGAATTAGTTTTAAAATAAGAGATGTACAAATGGGCTGAAAATGAAAGAAAACCCACTGCAATTACTGCTAAAATTTCATACACTGTAATGGAGCAGTATAATTTAGAGTAAGGTAGTAATTTTTCTCCTGGTTGGAATATTTTTTTTCCCTTGATGAATGGGGTAAAACAGTTCTAATTGTGTTGTGGTTTTGGATTGCTGATATTCCATCCTGCTTGCGCAAAATGTATTTTCATAAACTGAGCAGTCTGGCAAAATACTATCTTCAGTCAGCAAGTTCTTACTTATCTGTTTAGTCTGTTTTATAATGTAAATGTTTGTGTTTCTCCGCTGCTTTTACAGCTTTACTTGCCACAGTCTTTCTCCTGGGCCCACAGATTTCTTTTTCTTCTCTGCCTTGCTAGAGTTTCCTACAACTTATTGTAAACATGGGGAGTTGAAAAGATACTTTTTCTGTACTTTTTTTAACTACAGAAAATAATCATCTTGTGTTTGAAGATTGTTGATTTTTTTGCCATTAGTATCAAATTCTGTTTCTTTAAAATATATTTCTTCTTCTACTCACACTGTAGTTTCCTGACTTAGCATAACTATGACACTGTAAAAATAAAATATTGCATCTTCAATCATATTATGGAAATGTGAGATTGCTGTTAATATCACACAACCTTTTGAATGGAGAAAACAGGGAAGAAACTTCCAGACCTATGTATTTTAAACAGCCTTTTTTAAAGGGAATATTTTTCCTCATCTATGGTTAGGTATAAGACAACTATTACATTGAATCTACCATGTTAAAGAAGACTTACTCCCTAGTAATGTCATTTAGGATTGTAGTCTTTGTGACATTAACCATATTTATTTAAACATAGGCCAAATGATTTCAGTGGCATTAGCCCCAAGTATGCCTGCAGAAGACTGAACCCTTAAGGTATTTCCCCTTATAACTGAATAGTCATAAGGAGCCTAAATGATACCATGTTGGGCCTGATTCTGCTATCTGAAACTTCAGGGGAAATGCCCCAAAGGTTCTCTCATATTTGCCTAAAGAAGAAGGAACAGCATATAGAGTGTGCTTTTGTCTATGAGACTGAAGACTAAAATAATAGGGCTGCAAGGAAGTATATTTGTTTCACTTCCATGCTTCCAAGATTAAAATCAAGTTGCATTTTTGCAGCAATTTTAAATAGGTAGGTAGGTAGATATTTCCCATAATGTTTCCTAGCTTTATCTTTCTTGTTTTCCCCCTCTTAAGTTTTTTCTGGTTCTTGCTTTGTCCACAAACATTTGATTAACCACAGTGTGAACGTTTGAAGGGGTGGAGAGCAAACAGGAGCAGGTGAATGGGGAAAAATGTAATATGATTGTGGCATTGCATGATAGCACAGGAGAAAACATGGCTGGGTAAAGTGGAAGTAGAGTGTCCCTGCCGAATGAAAATTTCAACACAAGTGAGCTTTCAGCAGAAGTGAAAAGGATTTTATTTTATTTTTTTATTTTCAGTTTCTGGGTACTTGGAAAATATAAGTTTTTAATAGATATACGGCTTCCCAGTCCCTGTTTCTGAGCATATTATCTTGCAATGATTGCTGTTAAATAACAGCATTTAAATTATAGCTATTGCCTCATTGAGTCTCATGTATAGAAGGATTTTTTAATCTGTATGCATCATGTATAGAAGGATGATAGGATATAAACAAATAGATAGAAACATTCCAGTTGTACTTCCATGTGACATGCTTATGACTGAACTGGTATATGAGGAGCAGGAAACCAGCAGAAATAGTGAAATTGTGAGATAGTACACCAAAGAAAAATAATATAATAACAGATTAAAGCAAAAAGCATGGAGGGGAGAATAAAGCCTCTTTAAGCCCCTCCTAAATATCATTAGAAAAGAAATTGCAAAAGAAATGTTTATTTATATGTGTTTGCTAGGAAAGTGCAGCCATATAGGGGTGAGATCATATATATAAATAAATTGTATATGCATAGATAAATAAAAATATAAGTTTCCCTGTCACATACAGATAGAATAAAAATCAAGTATTAACAGTGAAGTGTTAGTTTGGTAAAATGTGCTTAGCTCATATCAGACAAAAATGTCTGCAGCAAAATCATCTGTGAACAAGTGCAGCAAGTTATGCTGTCTATCTGTCACATTATGATAGCTCTGTTATTCTATATGCTTTCAGGCATATGAGCTTACTGGTAATCATTAACACTGTATTTGTAATGAGCAGTGATCTTTACAGTCATCCATTGCCTCCTTGGTGGGACAGGTCACTGTTTTATTGTGTAGTTGAGAGAAGTCAGGATAAGAGAAGTAAGGGTAATAGGAGATGTACATCCAGTACAGGGATGAAAGGGACTGAGAAAGCCTAGATTCCCCCCCCCCCCTTTCATGTATGCCATTATAAGTTGTCAACTGTGCATCTCTTTCAGAACAGAATGCACAATCTTGCGCTGCACCAAAAATTAAATTGTACCACTGGCGGTTTCAGCTGTGGCACAGAAAGCAAAAGTAGCAAAAGTGTAACTTCACTTCCCCTTCCACTTGGTGACCCAAAGCCATTTCCAATGAAACAGCTGAAACTAGATTTGGTCACCTATGGCCCATGCTTTCACTGGTAGCTTATGTTGGGGGCAGTGTGGAACATTATGCCCTGGACTGGCTCGAGTGACTATGATGGTAGCTGCATGAACTCATCCAAAAATGATGTGGCACAAGATTAGTACTCAGGTGGTCCAGCTGGGCTAACACCACATGGCTCTTTTTGGGCTATCACCTTCTTTTCATTTCCACTGCTCCTCACTAGCCAGGCATGTAGCCGGGGGGGGGGGGGGGGGGGGGGGGGGGGGGGGAGCTATAGGGGCTCCCCCCCCCCCAATTCTCATGGTAGTACGCGAGAAGGCCTTACTGGTACATTATTTAAACTTTTATGTTTATTAATATCATTATCTGATCACCATTCTCAATATATCCCATATGCATGAGGGTATTGGGGTAACAATACAAAAGGATTGCTAGGGTAGACCCGCCAGAGTTTCCTGTAAATGGCAGAGGTTTAGATTAGAACACCCACTGGAAGTCATTGTTCATTGTGGAGATAGTCAGCACTGGATTCAAGGTGAATCAGGGTTCTCCTCCCCCCCGCCCCCCATCAAGATAGACAGGCCCTTAGAACAGCTCCACTGAAATCAATAGATCTTGTTATTCATGACCTAGGTACAATTTATTTCATCAGGTCTACTTTGCAGATGAACAGAGGCCTGGTAAATCTAGGCCAGAAAGGCATAAACATAATTTTTCAGCCATTACTAAATTTCTGCTGGGTGACTGTAGGACTGAGGTTTATACCAGTTCTTTTGGAATTGTTGGCATTTATTTTTCGTTCTTTTTTAAGGTTTTGAATTGGCTTTTTATTTCTTTCCTGTACTGTGCAATGTTAGATTAGCATGTTCCTTTGCATCTTATTTATCAAACCAATTTTAATTTCTTCATTGGGCTGGTTGTCGGTACTAAAGATTTCCACTGGAATCAGCATAAATAGTTAGCCATGATTTCAACCTCTTATATTTCAGTAGGTCATAACTACTACAACTAAAAATCTAGATTCATATGCCTGCATGTTTGTTTTTTCCTGAATTATATGTTGTGGTTCATATCTAACCATGCATTATCAGATATATTAAAAAGAAACTCAAAACTTACTATTTTAGGTGGTCGGCTTAGGAGATGTTCCTGATGGTACTTTGGTCACAGTAATGGCTGGAAATGATGAAAACTATTCTGCAGAACTGAGAAATGCTACTGCTGCCATGAAGAATCAAGTAGCAAGATTCAACGACTTGAGATTTGTGGGCAGAAGTGGAAGAGGTATGACTTTTTGATTATGTCCAAATTAACTACGGCACTATCTTATCCAAGAAACATTATTGTGGAATCCTTTGTTGCAGCTGTTGGGCTTTCTTTTTGCAATAATCGCTTTCATTTAATTTTAATTATGCCTGAGTAAGCAGTTTGAGGATTTTGGCATTTATGAAGCCACCCTGTTGGCACTGTTGTGGTAAATAATTGCAGAGTGTAAGTTATTACCCCATTTTAAAGCATGTATTTATACTGCAAAGGGCACTGGCTAAATAACATTAAGATATAACATAGTGCCAATACAAGATTTGTACCTGACCAATGTTTGGCCAGCATTAATGCACATGCACAAGTTGTATGGGTGCTTGAGTGTATGCGCCCCAAAGTCCCACATGGGTAGATTATTCATTTGCTTCAACAGAAAGGATAGATCTGCAGGGAACTCAAAGAACATAAGAACACATTAATTTTATCATGCTGAATTTATCATGTAGACTCCTGCATGTGGGAGTATGTGAAATTAGAGTGATCATATCTGACAACTTTTAATAGTGGTGCAGATTTCAACGTGCTTTATTATGACTTTATAAGCATGTGACCAACAGGAAATTCTGGAGGCATTCAGGTCTGAACGGAGGTGTTGTGTGTTTGGCAACAAAGAGCGAAATCCAGTGTTAATCTTAACAAAGAGTTGAAATCAATGGGATTTGTGATTAGCAAGTCCCATTAATTTTTGTTACTCAAGTGGAGGTGAAATGAACACTGGATTTAGGTCTATTTTTGGTGTAAGTAGGAATACAGATTCTTAAAACATGTTCATCATTAAAGCAATCCATGCAGTATATAATTAATTATGTATCATCATCCAAAGTAAAACTATTTCTGTTAAATTCAGTTCATTGTTATTAATTTAGAAGATAATGTTTAACTATCTTACTTCCTGTAATACAAATATTTTGAAATCATTTTGCATTCCATTCATGTTAACATAACTACTTTAGATGACTTCTATGATTTGTGCGGTTAGCACACATTTGTAACTAAAGAGTTTGGAGATGGTCTGTAGAATAAAATAGAATAAAATTCAGTGCACTTTTATCAGTAAAATCTGGGTGCAGTATACGCAGGTTTAGTCTATTGTTTGAGCTTAATTAAAAGTACTGATATTTTTAGGAACACAAATAAAATTTTGCTGATTAAAGCTGGTGGTTGCTAAAACAAGCAAATCCAGACAGATTCATATCATTATTGGTGGAGGTTGGTGGTTTCCAATTCAGTATAATAGTGAAATTGCTCTGAGTTCATGTGAATTTTAAAAATGCTATCCCATTTGTTGTACCCTAATCCCAAAGTAGTTTAGCACTTTAAAGTTCAGCCTGATATCCCAAGTGGATCCCCCATTTTGCTGAGATGAGAGGTAGAATCCACTGATAACTGATGGTTATGTATATTAGAATTGGTGATCATCTATAAAACATTTTAATTCATTAATTGTCATTCAATAATTGCTCAGTGTGCATACCCCTTTGAGTATGCACTTAGTTCTGGCAACTACCGGGCTACTGGGCTGCTACCGGGCTCAATTCAAAGTGCTGGCGTTAGCCTTTAAAGCCCTAAATGGTTCTGGCCCAAGCTACCTATCCAACCGCATCTCTGCCTATGAACCCACCAGGACTTTGAGATCTTCCGGGGAGGCCCTGCTCTCGATCCCGCCTGCTTCTCAAGCACGGTTGGCGGGGACGAGAGATAGGGCCTTCTCGGTGGTGGCTCCTCGGCTGTGGAACGCCCTCCCTACCGACATTAGACTAGTACCATCTCTGATGGTATTCCGAAAAAAGTGAAGACCTGGCTATTCGAGCAGGCGTTCGAACAATGAGTGGTTAATGAACACTGGAATGGATCATTGGATGACGAATCTGGATCATGTTTTGATGATGAGATGATAGTGAATGGCTATTGTAGTAATTGTTAATTGATAATTGTTTATTGTTATTAAGTATGCAACTCTATTGAGTTGATAACTGCTTTTATACTGTAATTATTGAATTTTGCTGTCTCTTGTTGTTGTGAACCGCTGTGAGTCGCCTTCGGGCTGAGAACAGCGGTATATAAGCAAGGTAAATAAATAAATAAATAAATAAATAAACTATAGTTCATCTCGGTTACTCTTAACAGTGCTGATAAGAATATACAAAATGACAAATTGGTACCCGCAGCAAAATGAATAGCCTTGGAAGAAAAAGCTGTTTAGTTAATATATTTCTGTGTAGTGCTGTGGTAATCCTTTAAGGTAAAAGAGACATATGTACTCATATTTAGCCTCATTGAAGGTAGTTAGTTCTTTAGTATATGATTTTAGCCCATCTGCTCTAAAATCAAGGAGGTCTGCAAATCCCAGAATTCTATAGCATTGAGCCATGGCAATTAAAGTGGTTTTAAATGCTATAATTCTGCAGTGTAACTACACCCTCTGATTCTGGTAAAGGTACAGTATCCTTGATACAAACTGAAGTGAAACAATGGTTTATGTATTAATCAATTCAGTTTGACTTCTTGGTCATTTGCATTTATAGGTTTGTTTGGTGAAACATAATATGGCAACCAAATTAGTCTTTATGGTGCTTTTCATATGCTTTCCTGGACAATGATCATCATTATATCATAAAGAAACTTTCTAGCTAGTTTGATTAGAGGGACATAAACCTGACTCCTATTGTTTGTCCCAAATAGAGAATCCCATCGAATTAGTAGAGTTTCCACCCAGTGGGATTGACTATTGAGCAATTTATTCAATAGGTCTACTCTAGTTGTGACTAAGTAGTAGGAGCCAATAATTAGATTTAAGTGCATTGCAACTGTAGATTTGATTTATGTAACTTCTCACATTTTAAAGAAGGAAGACTCTACAATTAGATATTCAGGTCACATATTGCTTTATACGTGGAGGATAGTGATGGTGCATACCTACCGTTTCCCCTTTGGAGAAAGTTCTCAGCCTGCTATGTTCATGCATTTGCCATATTGTTCACACACACACAAACACACATACAATGCACACTCTAAGGAAGGCTGGGAATGAACAGAAAGCATGGAAACATTGAATGGACTAATATCCATTTGCAAATATTACTGATGAAGGTTGTATAGCTGGGTTGACTCCCACTCCTTACTATTTACTTGAATTGGTTCTCTGATTGGTGCATAATAGACTTTAATTGATTTTCCAAGGAAGTTCACTTTCATAGACCTGTCTCCCCAGTTTTGCCCCCCAGAAATGTGTGTGCTTCCTTTTTAGCCCGACATACAAAACTAGATGGCTTTTAAACCCAGATGGGTTGTTTCTGTGCGAGAGATAATTGCTGGGGGAGAAATATCTTTAGTTGGAATTGTAGCTTGGTGATGCTAACGAATGATAATAATAGGGTAAAGCAGAGAAAATTATATCCATTTACTGAAAACATGAGTGATGCTGTAATGTATAAAAGGATCAGTCATTAAACATGTTCAGTTGTTATATGGAAGGCTGCGCCTTTTCAGTAAATGGAATTCTCATTATGATTCAGAGTGTTTAGAAAACATTTTGAAGATTTAAACGTGGAGCTGGCAAAGTGTCTGAGAAGCTCATAAAACCAGGCCTGCACTTTGGTAGCTAGCTTTAAATGTGAAGTCAAAAATCGGAGCCTGGGTAGTTCTTAAGGTCAGAATGGGAAAGTAAAAGAAGGAACCAAAGCTATTCAGTAAAAATTAATAAGTCATTTATTCTACTAAATCCCAACCAGTCACTTGTAACCCTGATCACATATGTACAAAAGCAGGTACGCAAACAAAGATTGACTGTTCTTGTCAGGGTAAGTTTAAAGAAGAGATCATCTTGGGGACATTGCATGCTTACTGTTCAGGCCTGAAGGTTTGTTTCTATGGAGTTTACCAATTTTGAGTGAGTGACTAATATATGCTTTTGTTTATTCATGCAACTCTGAACTGTTTCCTAAAGGTGTGGCTGTTTGCCTGAGAGTGTATAGTTTCTACTATTCTTTTATTGGGTTGGCTTAAAGCATGAGGACTAAGGGAGTTGTGTCAAAGGTCACAAGAATCAAGTAGGAAAATTAATTCTTTCTAAAGCTGTGTGATATTTATATGCACTTTACACATTACTCTGAGTATTAAAATGAAAAAGAAACATGCAGCATATGTTTCAAAGGGGAATTAAATATTAGTTATACATACACGTATGGTTTATAATGGAAAATAACAAAAGTATTGTACAGATATTGTGTGAGTGGGACTTAGAACCAATAAAACCTGAACTCTCTCGAGAAGCGAAGATGACTAAACTCAGGCTGTCATACTTTTCCAAGTAGTTATGTCATTGTGAGATGACATAACTACTTGGAAAAAGGGATAATAGTTGGTAAAGGGGGAGACAATAGGAAAAGTTCAAGCCAGCACTACAGGTGGATTGGTTCAGTCAAGGAAGCCACACTGGACTTGGCAGGGACAGTCCTGATCAATCTTTTCTTGCCCCGCTTTTTTGGCATCCTTTAAAATGTCCTCACTTCTCTCTTCTCTGCTCATTTTTCTCCTTCATTCTTAGTTTACTTTAATTGCTGTATACTGAGTTCAAAATACAATTCAGAAGTGGTGGGGAGGAGGCAGGACCATAGCCAGAAAAATATTTCAGGGAGGGTTGAAAATTTCAGGGAAGATTGAAAATTTGGGGGGGGGGGTTGAAAATTGGGGGGGGGGTTGAAACCTGCCTCCTAGGTCACACTGAAGCAAAGAGCACAGCAGGGGGCAGAGCAGCCTTCAATAGCCTGCAGCTCCGCCCCTGTCGACCACCTCCACCAAGTCTGGCCTCCTTAATGAGAGCATTCAACCCCCCCCCCCTAACTTGGTTGCTTCGCTACATTGGCTATTGCTGCAAGTAATGACCGTGTGAATAAATTGTCAATATTTGCTTGAGATAGTGCTTGCAGTTCTGGAGGGACTCTTTATTTTTTTGCGTCTCA